AGGTCGTGACCAAGGTCACATCCAGCGAGGTGTCCGCTTCCCTCAGCCCCCAAACCATTTAACGAGAGTGAGCAGAGATTGCTAGGACTATTACAGGTTGCCCAGAGAGGTGGCGGAGTCTCCTTCGCTGGAGATATTCAAAAGCCGTCTGGATGTGATCCTGGGCAATATGCTCTAGGTGACCCTGCTTGAGCAGGGAGGTTGGACTAGATGATCTCCAGAGGTCCCTTCCAACCTAAACGATTCTGTGATTCTGTGATTCTATGAGGCTTCTGCTCTGGATTCATTACCTAGATGTCTCTGCTGGAGGTAGGTTCGTACACCTTCCCTTTGAAAAACTGAGCAGTAAACACTATCAAGAAGCTGTAAATCGATAGATAATGATTATGATGCCTCCTTTTTTTATTAAAAAGTTTGTAAGTTATGTCACTCAGCAGGGTGTTTTCCTCTTTCCAAAGGGCTCCAAAACCACCTCTCCCACATAGTAGTGAGATATACTTCTGCTGAGACAGTACACCTAAGAGCAGGTTAGAGGATGTTCAGAAGACATGGGACACTCTCCTTCCCTTCTGCTAAAAATGACCTGTAATATGGGAGAAAGAGTGGATATACACATACACCCAGTAGAGCATGCATACCAAAAGTGTAAGAATGAGTTTCATGCCTTGCTGACAGTATTTTCCAAATTTTGTTACAGGAACCAGTGCGCAGGTGCACCTTACATCAAGAGTCACCAGCAACAACTGTCAGTGCAAGCGACTGAAATCAGACCTCCCAGCATCCTGAGAAAGTGCTGTGACTACTGTATGAGGCAGGAATGACCATTTCTTCCTCCTTTTCCCCCTCTACCCCTTGGTATTAAAAGTTATCTCTGCTCCATCTCGTGTAAGTCTTGGTTTCATGGGCAAGCGCACGGAATGGCTTCGTATCAGTCATCTTGTCAAACACACAAAAGTGTTTTCCGATAAGATTTAAGTTCAGTTAGGTGCTGATTTCACTAGTCTTGAGGGACTGCTCATGTTCCTGAGTGCATGTATATGGGCACAGAATTATAGGCACTGAGGGAAATTTAATGACAAGTACTTCCATGCCTAGCACCAGCAGAGTAGGAATTATCAGCACTGCAATTCTGGATTTAGGAAGCATAATTCTATCTAAATGCCGCTTAAATTCAGTTTCTGGTTCTGATGCTTCCTATCTAGCAGCACCCAGTTAGGCCAATGGATTAAACATTTGGATGGGATTCCTGATTAATTGTGATAAACTGAAAGATAAATAATTGTCTTCCCATGATTTACAAGTAACACAGACATATTTAAAACAATTGTCTTATCAGTTTGTTAGAGGAAATATAATTATTTTAAAATTTACAATCCAAAACTACATCATACAATAGCTTATCTATTTGATATGCCTGCTATCTCAGACAATGTTTGCATGGCTCAGAGGAGAAAATATGTACAAGTTGTTAACAGTCTTCAATTATGTTCTCCCTTCTACGTAATTTTTTTGGAAAAATTATTTGCCTAGTCCTTTATAAAATAGATTCTCTTGTTGTATATATTAACACTTAACTGAGTTTCATGACAATTTGAAGTAACTCCTTGTAAAAGAAAAAGATACAGAATTCCATTATATTCATAACAGGTTTAACACCGTAATTATATCACTTATCCGCAGTATAGGTTAGATATCATCAGGTACATTTGTTGTAAAATATTAACACTTTTAAAGAAAGTAAATCTGGACAAAGTGTTTCACTATACTTGTCAAAACTGTAAATATCGCTGTACTGTGTCCCAGTGTGTCATTGTAATTTGAATGCCAATGAAAACCATGTCAATACTTTATTTAAATGTTAATAGGATCTGTTGAATTTGTGGATAATAAATGTTCTTTCCACATGAGAGAACAGTCAATATAGTCTAGGAATCTAAGAAAATCTGAACTTGAATCCCAGCTCCATGATAAATATGTTCTGAAGGCCTGATGTTGTCATGCAAATCTGCATTACTATTACTCTGTTCATAAAATGTAGATTATAGTACTTCCTCACTTCTCAAAGTTATTAATAATAATAATAAGCACATCTACAGTCTGATGAAGAAACTTTGCACTACCCTAAAGTAATTACACCTGAAATACTTGGCCATATACTGGTCTTCTCATTAACAACAAAGGCTTGAATGATTACAAAAATAATTAAAAAATAGTAGCTTGGAAAGGTTTATCCTTCAGAAATTGAAAGTATTCACGATGAAAATCTGCAAATCCTGGAACAAAAGTTTTTTCTGCTCAAAGTTTTGGGATTAATAATATCAATGAGATAAAATTAGGAAAGGAGAAAATAAAGTAAAAATTGATTTTAGATTATCCAAAGCAAACAAGTTGTGGATAACATTCCTATGCTGAGTAACGGAGAGCTTATTATTATAATATATAAGAAGAATATGAATAAATTTACATTAAATAAACTGGAGATAATATTATTCCAAGGAATGCTGATTTTGCTATTTTTCATTAAATATACTTTGTAGTAAACATTTATCCCATCTGCTTCTGCTATACGATGCTTTCCTTCTGTTTTTAACTCATTTGAAATTTGTCTATAGAACTGACAATAAAATAAGGTACTTACCGAGAAGCAATTTCATTTAAAAATAACAAACAAGTACTATTTGGCCTTTTCCAAAAATCTTTTCTAATTAGCAGACGATTCTTTATGGATTAAATATGGTTTCTAGGCAATGAATAACTTTTTTTTTTTTCAAAAAATTGAATCAGATATGAAAAATTAACGTAATGCATTTTAAGGGGCTTTCATTCCTCATAAAAAACACATTGAATTATTTACTCAGGATGGAATTGGAACTACATAGAATGAAGGAATGTAAGCAACACCTAATTACAGTGTTGTGCCTATTTTATAAATGAGTGGCAATTAAACACAATCACTGGATTACATTGCTTCAAAATTTACAAATTAAACAACAGGGTTCTGCATTTGTCTTCTTGGGACTGTTATTATAAGACCAGCTCCCATCACAGCTTAAGCATTTGAGAAATATGAATTCAGAAGTTAATCAATAATTGTTAAAAAAATATATCAGGACTCACACATTCTAGAAGGATGGTACTGATAATGGCTAGTAAAATCTTTAGATGACCCTCAGTGCTGCGTGATTTGTAATTGTAAGTGGTTTAGGTAATATCCTACTAAGATTTTCTCTTTAGTCATTTCTTCACTATACTAACTCATTTTCTTGGCCTATACCATAGTCAATAAGCACCTAAAGGTCAACATCCTACAGTACATCTTTTGCCAAACAAAGCTTGCTAGGAGATACCAAAAGCTCATGTGTAAGTAGTACGTTTATCTGTTTTCAATCACCTTCTGACAACTGTTTGATATGACAACATACTTATAAAGCAAGCACAGTAGACTCTAAAAATGTATATGTATGCATATGAATGGAGAGATCAAACGTCTTTTTGAAAATCTGATGTTAGTTTATCTTTTCCTTTTCTGTTATCCAATCCATCTCCTTCTGATTTTAGAACAGTAAGCACGTAATAAGATAATGTATCTAACCTGCCAGTGTTAAGTAATTCAGAAGCTCAGTAAGATTTTTGTTAGGGTTTAGCTCTATCTCATCATTATTCACTGTCATCAAACAATCACATGAATGATACTCTGTGATACAAAAAAAGTGTAAATATAGATGACTTACACTTGAAGCACAGTTTTAGGGTCACCCACTTCCCCTCCGTCACCAATTGTCAATGTGTCATAGCCAATCTCCAGATCAAATTCTTCAAAATTTATCTGGATAACCTAGTAAAAAAAGTAAATATATACTTTTAAATAAAGAAATGTCACTGGGAGATGACCCTGTAAACAAGGTTTTCAGCAGTAAAAATAAACCACAATTTCAAATTAATAATAATTTGAATAATAGTTACATATAACTTTAGAATATTTTAAAATAAATTATTGTAATTAACTAACGGCTCTGGTTCAAGAAATGTAGAATTACAATAACTGTAAGGTGCCATTACTGTGCTGACCTGCTCAAAGTACTGATGTTTCACTTATTTATACAATTGTTGCATGTTTAATACAATATCAAATAATTGTGTTACATTTTGGTAAGATATCCTCAAAGGTCAACTTAACTGTTTGCACTTCATGCAATGCAATTGTCTTCAAAGAGCAGCTGAATAACTGTACTTCACCAAGTAAATGCGATGAAGGTAAGGAACCTAATTTACTCCTGACATCTATAATCTGGCTCAAGTAGGATAAAGCTAGACCAAAGGCAAAAGTCTTTTTTTTTATTTTATGAAGCTGAGTAAAATGCAACTATCAGAAACATGAGTATATTTTATATCCTGTCATCTAAACTGCAGTGTGTATAATTAATGCTTAAGGACACCCATTTCGGCTCCATTTTAAGAATACAATGAATTTGCTCACTTAGAGCAAAATTCAACCATATTGTTACAAGAGAAAATAAAAGCATTTCTTTTCCACTGAGATATTAATCACACTAACTGTTTCTTTATGAAAATAACACAGATTCCTTGAATTTCCACAGCAATGACAGAATACCTGTGCATAACAATTTTTTAATATTTATCTCTTCAACTAATGGCCTTTAATTAATCTTTAATTAGTGTTATGATGCAGAAGTGAGAGTGCTAATGTTTAAAGCTGTGGATGTCATGTTGCTGCATAAATATCATGTTCTTGAAAGCTAACTTTACTTTGTTATACTGGGCTTCTAGTAATTGCTTTGCACAAGGACGTATTTTTACGAGTTTTCTGAAAAACTAGTTGTAATCCTTCGTGGCCTTCTGTCGTTGTTTTTTGTTTTTTTTTCCTTTCTGACCCCAGCGTGTTATGCGACATGGCACTAGCAACCGGGAAACTCAGGAGCGTATGTATGTGAACAGGAAACAGCAGTCGGCACAG